AGGCGCTTTATTTGCAATTTAAATAAATAGCTCGGCGACACGCACAGGCGCCGGGGGAGGCGGGGAGCCAGACCCGGACACCCCCGCCCCTCGACTGGGGGCGCCGAGCAACTTTCCCCGGGGAAGGACCCTCCGCCGGCCGGCTGGGAGCGGAGGAGAGGGGAAGGGATGGGAAGGGAGGCCGGCGGGCTGGCCGGCCCCGGGGAGGAGGGTCTCCTCCCTGTGCCCGGCCCCAAAATCTGAGCCGGCCTTGGCAGACGGTTGTCAGGGAGATTTTCCCCTTGGGGAGCTGCGCTGTGAGCTTAGGGGAACGTTGGCGTCGTCAGGCACATGGGGACAGGGCCACGGCAGCGGCATCCTCAGGGCTTCAACACCCCTGGCCCACCAGGTCAGGGGCGTCCTCGCCTCACGCTCTGCTGGCTTGCTGGAGTGGCGGCTTGCACCTCCAATGCATCTCGCATGGGGCCATCCCCAACCTTTGGTTTTGCCTGCTCGTAACTTTGAGATAAATGCCCTCGTCTTTTAGTTCAGTGCAAAGGTGTGAAAGGCTGCAGCAAAATGTCATTTCGTTAATGCAAGCATGGCTTGGTGCGTCTTACATGCTTTGAGTCGTTCATGAAGCTGCCACAAACAATACTGTGCTACTCTTAACCTTTTCAGCAAGATGAGAGCGATACTGTTGGGCTGTGAAAGGGCCAGGGGTCTCTTTCTCACAGCTTACCCCTCCTGTGTTCTGTCGTTGAAAACACGCCTGGGAAATGTGTCAGATCCCATGGTGGAGGAGTGCACTTTTAAGTCAGAGAAGACAGCATTACTAGAAAGCAACCTGAAAAGTTTTTCAGACTGAGGATGAACTTGTAGGAGTCGCAGTTTTATAAAGCCAGCCTGCAGTCTCCAGCTGCGGTGACTCTGGCCACAGAAGCTTTCCAAGTTGTGGGGTTTGTTTTCAAGACTGAGATTTCCTGGGAGTCACTAGTCTTTGGAGTAAAAGTTGCAAAGCTCAGCAAAACGAGTCAGAGTGCGTTATGCCGTCATTTTGATCTTCGGGCCTTTGTGTGATCCCTGCCAAGAGAAAAAAACAAAACAATTGTCAGTGATTTCTGCCACTGAAGTTGCCCTGCCTTTTGTCAGAGTCCCAAGAAGTGGCATTAAGGGCAAAAACCCCCATTTGAGATCTGCTGGAAGATGGACACTCGAACACGAAATGTTTGCCTTTCAGCCTGAAGTGTCATGCTGTGCAGACCAGGAGACCTGTGCAATGTCACCTCTGGGCTCTTGTGACTCTGTCTTGCCTCTTTCTGGGACACGGTGTGACCTGTCCTGGGGGACTTTCAAGCAGTGGTGGCACTGGCAGACTCGTGGCTTCCCCTTCCCACACTGTAGAGCTCAGGGCTCCTCAACCCTACAGCTCCCTTCTCACCCACTGCCCTCTGCAGACCCACAGGTCCCTCTGGCAGGGCCGGCAGCCCTCTGGCACGTGGGAGGAGAGGAAGGGAGGAGACTGGGGAGCACGTCTTCTCCCAGAGAGGAGAGGCTTCAGGGAACAGAAGGAGGTACAGCAAAGCAAAAGCGTGTCAGGGCCATCCCAGGTTGCTCAGAGCAATGTGACAGGTGGCACAAGGCCGGTGTTCTGCAAACCAAGGTAGTTCTGGCAGCTGCAAATAATTTTTGTGTCATTTGGTGCTGTGCGTATTTCAAATCAGGAGATCAGTGTGGTGTCAGTGTGTTGTCCTTCCCTAGGCATGTTGTCTTCATGACAAAGAAGTGGCTCTCCATATAGTCCACACTTTCCAATGCAGAATTATGGGTTTCTTAAAGTACTTGCCCTGAGTGGATGTACGTTTTGGTATGTTACCAAAGACTACACATTTTTTCCTCATTTTGAATTTGAGAATTCAAGTTTTCTTTTCAAAGTGTAATACTTTGTGCTTGTCTTTATTGAATTTCACCTCACTGTTTTGAGGTTCTTTCTGTGATTTAGCAATGTTAAACCTTTGTTCAAATCCTTGCCTCCAAAGTGCGGTACTGCCCAACTCAGTGTTATTTGCAGAAATTTGAAGTCAAAGGTCAATTCCACCATTCAAGTCACTAATTAATCAATCCTAGCAGACAGATCAGATCTCTTAATTTCATATACCTTCCTATTGATAGGAAAATATTCACTGCTACAGTTTGGGAATTGCTTTTCAATCACACAGCCCTCTCATGTTAATCCCATCTGAGACCTATTTGCCTTTATGAGAGTGGTGTTCAAGGCAATGTCAAAAGCCCTACTGAAGTCAAAATATGTTTCATGTATTCCTTTCAGCACCTACTAAGTCAGTTATCTTGGCAAAGAAATAAATTAGATTACTTTGACATGATTTATTCTGGACAAATGCACACTGCCTGTTTCTCATCACTTTATTGTTATTTAGTTGCTTGCACACTGATTGCCGAACAGCTTGTTTCATTATCTTTCAAGATAACAAATGGAAGTTGGCCGATTTGTAACTCTTCACTCAGCCCCTTTGATAAAGATGGGTAGCCCGTTTTCCCTTTTCACTTCCACCTGGATCTTGTTCTTGAATGGCAGCGTGTATTTTGGAAGAAAGAGCTAGTCCCTGTAAGAGACAAGATGCTGGTCCAGACAGACCATGGGTCTGGGTCAATGGAAGTGGTATGGTATTCTTGTATGTGCCACAGTACTCTGGTGACAGGGGACAGCGGGAGCCATGCTGCTCCCTAAGGGACAGGGAGCTGAGTGCCATAACATGGCCAGCAGAGCAGGGACCTCACGGGCCAGGGCCCCATCCCACAGGACCTGAGCAAGGCGAGCAGAGCAGGCCTGGAGATGGCAGCTGGAGTCACCAGGGAGTCCAGATCGCCAGACAAGTCCACGGCAATGGGATAGGTCTGAGGTCAAGCTGGGAACATGAGTTAGCGAGTCATGTCCGGTGATGGCAATCAGGGACGGGCACAGCCCCGTGACCAGCAGGCAAGTCCATAGCAATGAGGCAAGTCTGAGGTCTGGCCAGCAAGTTGGTTGACAGGTCCGGGTTGATGGGATACAGGCATGGCTGTCACGCAGCTGTAGCTGTAGCTCAGGCAAGGCCAAGCTCCGGCCCCTCAGCTGAAATGCAGCTCCCGTGGGAAGGGGGAGGTCAGCCCTCGCTGAGGTCTCACCGCAGCCCTGCCTCCAAGGTCACTAGAGGGAAAGGGGGCAGTCCTCAGCTGCGCTATCTCTAGGTTGGCAGCGAGCCCGGGGTGCCAGACCTCCAGGAAGGGTGATAATGCTCTCAGGGCCCTTTCCTCTGGCTGTGTGGGGGCACGTTTCCTAACATGGCCCATTTTTCCAGTGTAAGCAAAGCCCAGGGTTGTGAGTGTCCCAGGGGAAGGAGGAACTGTGCTGAACCAGAGGCTCACAAGAGTGTAGCTTTGGGTTTGGGGTTTTTTTGTGATAGCACAAAAGTAGAAAATCTCACTGCTATAGGAAAAAAACACAGTAAGGAAATGACATTCCTCCTCATAACCAGTGCTGCAAAAACATCCAGGATAGAGGAAAGATCTTAATTACAAAGGAATTCTACAAATCGTACTAGCTTGGAAGGGGAAAGAAAAAGAGTATAAATGTTTAACAAACCAAATTGTTTGGAAACCTGATGGTTTTAAACCACTACCACTTGAATATGTAGTCTCCATCTTATGTAAGCTCCACTGCGAGTAAATAGATGCTGTAGATGCTCAGCTGGTTTCTGCAGAGATAACGTGACATTTTCAGACTCTGCTGTAAATGCAGTGTGAAGAACAATAAGAACTGTAAGGTAGACAGGCTTTTAAGATATCTGATAGAACCTGCTCCCCATTTTCTTACAGGTGGCTGAAGTGTTTGAGAATAGGCTGATTGAATGAGAAGTGTCTCTGGCTTGTATTATATTTGCTTGTATTAGGTATTTAACATCTATATTTGATTGTAATTAATAATAGCAGAGAGGTTTAAGAGGTTTCAGAGTGGATGATGTATTGATCTAATTGCGCCTTTATCGCTTTCTTCTCTTTTCAATAGACCTTGTTCTTCAAGACAATTTAAAGCCATGTTAGAAAATTCCAGATGCACCCTTAATTTATGCTTTTGGGTTCCAAATTTTCAAATAAACGGAGAGCAATGAATCCAGTGCATTGCCTTGCACATGTGCCTAGGATCAAGGATTTGTTTTACCACAGGCTGAACACTGATGTTCAGTTTCAGGTTGCATATGGCATCTATGTTTAGTGTCTAGATGGAAACTGAAGTTCAGGTGCAACCTCCAGTATAAAAAAAGCTCAGCCACATTTGCAGCACTTCAGCAGAGACAACTGCTGATAGTATTTCTGTCACTTTTTTTCCTTCCTTCATAATTTCAATCTTTTTTGTATCGTATGCAATGCAATTCCTTCCTTCAGCACATTAACCATTACCATCTGCACTTTAGAATCATAGAATCATAGAATCATTAAGATTGGAAGAGACCTCTAAGGTCATCGAGTCCAACCATCAACCCACCACCACCATGCCGACTAAACCACTAAACCATGTCCCTAACCTTCACATGAATCTTTTTACAGTGATGTTGGTAAAGCCAGAATTAGACTGATGAGGACCTTAAGCACCAGAAAAACTTGGTGAAAGGGAATTTTTATCTTTAAGCAAGGAAGGAAATTTCAATGAAAGGCTGATAAATGCGACATCTTCATTTTCCACATCCAGCAGACAAAATATTAAGCTCACACTGTAATACAAAATGTTAACTCTAACACTTCAGAATAATTTACATCTTGTCACCACGTATGTGACAGGGAAGTGGAGGATCTGTGGCATATTTGTGGGGCAAGTCTATAGGAAATATATTGCACTCGTGTAAACTAAATGACTTGTTTAAGAACAGCCAGTTGCTTTGTGGAAGCTGGAAATTCCTTGTGGGTAGGGAGGTACACTCGGGGGGGGGGGGGGGGGGGGGGGGGGGGGGGG